AATATCGTCCACCCTTTCTCTTCCCAAGGCACCAGTTCTTGGTTGGCTGCTGCATCTGAGCAGGGAGGAAGAGAGTTCCATGTAAGATGCTACATAATTTTGTTGTCTCTTGGAGATGTTGGAAAGTAAATTTCTCTTGAAATATAAACACTAGCAATGCCTAAAATAATACATCCCTAACAGTGGAAGTGTAGCTATTATGATAAGAGAGGTCAGAAGAAATGAGAGGAGGCCAAAGGAGATCTCCTTGGTGAGCGCTCTCTTCATCTGGCCCACCCTCTATCTGAGGCATTATTGGACTTGGTCTATTGAAGGCTTGTTCTGGGTCACTCTAGGAAATAAAAACTCTCAAGGGCTTTTATACTTTCTAAAGAAAATGTAACTTTCACATTCTATCCCAACTCCATCAACGGTTAATTAATCATATTTTATGAAGTAGCCACTTATTTTTTTTCTAATGAAAACTCAGAGCTTGATCTATGCTTATCATACAAGTTGACTTTCATCTTGGGATTCCATCTGGAAGCACCGCCTCTCTAGAAGTCTAGCCGTGGCCTGGATGTGGGCTCTGATGCCAATGATTAATAAGCCCACTGACGACGGCTTAAGCTGCAACTGCCAAGCTGGGGTGGGCATCTAAACTGGCACCACTTTGTGAGGAAACTTTTCTTTACATGCTCTCAGGAACTAGAGTTTAATTAAGCAAGCTCTCAACTTTTCAATTGTTCTCACCTAGATTTTCACCCATTCTGAAATGCTGTTTCTTATGACTGACAGCTGTCATGAGAGATGATAACGTGGGAGAAATAAAAGACCCTGCACATATTCCTTCGTAGCAAGAAAAAAGCACTAGGCTGGGAGTCCTAAGGCATGAAATCTTGACCTGGATCTGTCACCATCCGGGTGTCACTGGGAAAATCACTTCCCCTCCTCTCATCCTCAATGTTCTCAGATGTTTAGTCGTGTCAATACTAGCCAGACATTCTTCTAAGCACTTTATATATATTGAATCACTTAATGCCCAAAACAGCCTTATGAAGTAGTACTATTATATTCTTCCTTTAAATATAAGAAGATCAATCCACAGAGAATCAGCTTGCCTAAGTGCACACTACTAGTGACTGGTGAGCTGAGATTGGAACCAAGCAACCTGACTCCAGCATCTTTGCTCCTGGCCACTATGCTTTAATAATGGCGCCATAATAATGGTATTGCCAGAAGCAGTGAAAATTAACTGAGATTATGCACATAAGAATTTGGCAAAATGTTTCATAAATGTCAGCTATATTTATTATATTATGGAGTAGGATTCCAATAAATGTTAGGTAGGTGGCTGGCTGGATGCCATCTCCAGAACCGTCTGGAAGTCTTCTCCTGAGGATGTAGTTCATATTTTCTAAGATTCTATTATTTTCGAAATTTGATGGGGAAATGTGAAAAGGACCATGCTACGTGAGTTTAGAGAAAAACGTCCACTTGAGCTAGCACACAATCCCGTTCTAATGTCTGCAAGATAAGGCTGGTCTGAAGAATGGCCAGAGTAAGTGTAAGACTTTCTAACCTAAAAATAGCTCCGCTATCTGAATGCCATCCTGCATAAAATGCTGCCATCTTTGGGTTAAACATTGTCCTCTACTTGCCTACGCAGGACTCTTAAAATACAAATGCCCACCAGGAGCAGACAGCATTAAGTCCCATCTGCCACAGTGTGAGTTCATTTACTGCAGTCTTTCTTTGGGGGAAGCATGTATGTATGCTATGGCTATCTATACGGGAAGGGCGTATAGAAGGAAGTGAAACGCCCCAGACTTTGCATGTTTCACAACTTTGGCTTAGACCATCCTGGTTCCAAGCCCATTGCTTTTTGCTTTTAATTTCAATCTGCCATGAAAGGCAAGGCAGGGCACAGAATGGAACTAAATTTATAGAACACATCCCAAGTGTCAGACACTGTGCAGTGTGATCTCTCCAGCATTAATTCCTTTAACCCTTACAGCAATACTGAAATGGAGGAACTCTCAGCTCCCACACCTATCACCAGCTGTTTGGTTTAGGTTTGTTTGTTTAAATGTACAGGGAGACAGGAGGTCACAGATGTCAGCCATTGTCTAAGGTCCCATAAGTTGTCATTGGCACATCTGGTGCTATAGCTCAGATATGCCCAATTCTTAAGTTTGGTCTTTGTGCCCCCTTACACTGTGTGCCTGAGTTACTCAACCTCATATGGCCCGAGGACCTTGCAGCAAAAAGGGGGAGAGGTGGCCAGAGACAGGCCCTATAAGGCCCAGCTGAGGAAAGAGACCACAAGCACAGCCCCATCCTTCCCCACCTCTGCCCTCATTCCTTATTCTGATGCAAAGCTCCAAAGATAGAAGAAGTGGAAGCAAGATGAGCAAAGGCCCCAAGACCATGCACACACATTTTCACACTCACACACACACACCCCAAACACCGTCATCTGAAGCCCAGACACTGCTTCCAGCTGAGCCCCCATGTGGCTGAGAGGAAAGTTATTTACAGCAAGGTCTGGCCTCTCGTGCCACCATGTAATTCCAGGCAATTGCACTTCTATATAGATCTTTTTGGAGAAAATCAACAGTGGCTTTGCTTTCAATCTACTGGAAAATGAAGTCCTGTGAATGTGTTACATAAGTCCACAGCAGGCAGAGGGAGAAGCTCAGGAGCCCACAGCTCTGACAAGAAAGGATGAAGCTCTGATGCCCCAGCCTCCCAGGGCCCCTTCCCACCTGCCCCAACCTGCCAGGCTGGTGTGTGCTTATGGCTTTGTGGATTCCACCAGGCTCCAGAGGGGGAGTAAGGCGTTAAGAAAAGTGTGCCAAAATCATCAGCTGGGGCTTAAGGGGAAAATTGGGAACCAGAGAATGACACAATGCCCTGTTGGTGAAGAAGAGAGGAGCACAGGTCTGCCCTACCCAGCCTCAGTCCCATCTAACACAATGTGGCAACAGCCTCTCCCGTGCACGCAGCTGCACAGACACACCCCAAACCTGCGGCACAAAACTTTTCATTTCCACTTCGTAATGCTTATTTTCTATTATGAAGTTAGAAAAATCTCACTGAAGAAAATTTTGAAAACAAAGAAACACAGAAAAATGAAAACACTTTTCTCAATCTGCTTACAATGACTGCACAAATGACTGGGTAACAGTGTAGAGGTACCGCAGTGCACCTCGGACAACTAAGCCCAGTCATTTGTACAGCAATTGTTAGCAGATCGATGGAGTTCTTGCCAGTCCTTCTTTTACCCATTTTAAACTTAAAATAATAATTCCTGATGAGTTTTCCATATGCCTCAGGCATTCACCTTTGGGACCCTCTGTCAAATGCTGACTGATGAGCATTCAAGAGTTTGGAGACAGAGGAAATGACTTGGATGGACAGATAGCCAGTGGTTTGTTAGATTATGGAGAAGGATTCCTTAGTGGCATAAAAAGAACACTGAATTGAGAATTGGGAGATATTAATCCCAGCCCCATTTATACCATCGTTGACTTTAGGACATTGGGTAAGTCATATCTTCTTTTGGGGACTTGTTTGCATCAACCATCATGAGAAGAAGACTAAAGCACATTAGCAACAAGATGAATGGGTTCTTGAACATCTTACACTTAAATCGCTTACTCTTCTTGTGTGTGTTTCCTCATCTGTACAATGGGTATGTTAATGCTTATGCCCCAAAACTTCTCATAGCTGTTGTGAGGGCCACTTCCTAGCTTGGCTGTGGTCTTGGAGCTGCTGTGAAAGCAGTGTATTGCTTTCTGTAAGCAACTATACAGAACTATATAAATGTGAAAGCTCTCCTAACAAAAACTAGAGAAAAATATCTGTGACACATTTTAGAGATATTTTGTGAAAATATAAGATAATAAATGTGGTAACAGGCTGGGCGCGGTGGCTCATGCCTGTAATTCTAGCACTTTGGGAGGCCAAGGAAGGTGGATCATGTGAGGTCAGGAGTTCAAGACCATCCTGTCCAACATGGTGAAACCCCATCTCTACTAAAAATACAAAAAAAAAAATTAGCCAGGCATGGTGGTGCATGCCTGTAGTCCCAGGTAGTCAGGAGGCTGAGGCATGAGAATTGCTTGAGCCTGAGAGGCAGAGGTTGCAGTGAGCTGAGATGGTGCCACGACACTCCTACCTGGATGACAGAGTGCGACACCATCTCAACAAATAATAATAAAATAAAAAACGTGATATCATCATAAAGAGAATGAAACACCATATAGGAGTGAGATGAGAAAGACACACAGAGAGAGGTCCCATTCCTGAAGTTCAGATAAGAAATCAGAAGTCATAGGAGGCTGCAGAGGGAATGGGGGATAAAAGAGTGTACTAAAAAGTAATTTGTCTTCTCCTTTACCTCATTTGTCCAAAAAGGTACCGAGTGCTCACTCTCTCAGCGCCCGGGAGGAGAGGTCAATGCAGAGAGCACAATATGAATTGGTTCTGAACTTGTGCAGGAACTGAGAGACTGCGGAGGCACTTCTGTCTCATCTCAGCGGGAACCTTCCCAACTGTGGGAGCCCAATGGAAGGCACCCTTCAGGCTGAAGACTGGGGTCAGTTTCATCTTTATACATCATAAAGAAGCCGAGTGGCATGGAGGCAAGTGAGAAGAGAACAGGGAGGAAGCTCTGAACCACACAAAATGCGGAGGAGAGCTACCCATCAGAATACCCACACCAATTTGGGGGATCCCCAGGAGCAAAGCTGCCAGACCGTGGAATTAGTGATAGTGTGCCACCTTCTGGCAGGCCTGCATATTGCACAATTTCCGGTGTCCGTGACTTGCAACCCTTGTTCCAGTTCAGAGATCCTAAGGGATCTTTCCCAGTCAATACACTGCTTTCACAGCACCTCCAAGATCACGGCCAAGCTAGGAAAAACTGCTATAGTGAAAAACATGTTTTAGCAGCTCCTGCTTCCTTATTCAACCTGTTCTCTCCAGCTTTTGCACCTTCATTTGGCTACCCAAACCCAATGCTCTTAATGCGTATACAAGTACCCGTGACCTATTGAGTCCTTTCCTCCAGCAACCCTTTACAGAAACCTAAGGACATGAGTACTGTATAATATACATCCTGCATTCCAATTAAAACAGGTATTGGGCAATTGCTGTGTGCTACACACTGCTGGATAGGTAGCTGTCTTTCAGGATCTTATCATCTATTTAGCAAAGTTAAAACCGTACTAAGCTAGCTGTCACAGTACAAGGAGATAGTAGGTTGAACAGTAAAAATGAGAGACTAGGAGTTCCAGAAAGGAAAAAAATTTTATGGTTGGGGAGGTCAAAGAAGGTAGTATTTGACCTGTGATTTAAAGGAGTGAGATTTTAACAAGAAAAAATGAAGAAGAGATACCCAGTAAAAAGAACAGAACACACGAAGGCACAGGACAGGGAAAAGGCGAAACCTGCTCGTGCGATACTTTAAACAGAGCATGTCAGGGAATAGCAATGACAGCTATTTATACATTTTTATAAGACCCACTTTTTACAATTGTATCTTTTCCATCACCCCATATGGAAGGTATTATTACTATTCAGCCCATTTCACAGATGAAAAAGTTAGGCTATAAGAGCCTCATTTGCTTTCTGAAGTTACTGTAACTAGGGAAAGAAGAACTTAAACCCACAGATTCCATCTTCAAATCTCAGGCCATAGCAAGCATGGTTAACTCAAAAAGGAAGATTGTAACTATTCTGTGAAGGACAAGGAATAGCAAGCTAAAAAATGAAATCAAGCTACCGGTGAGATTTCAGGCCCGTGACAGTAAAGTGGGTCTCCCTTTTGGGTCTTGGAGAAGTGATAAGATTCTATGTCTTTTTCTCTCCTTCCAGACAAGGGCTGGCCCCTCGTTGGTATTATCTTTCTCCTTAGAAGCACACCCCAAGCTCTGCAGCCATACAGCCACTTGCAAACAACATATTTAAAAAGTTATGCCTTTCTTCCTCCAGTGCATTTATCTGTTTGTTTGATTTCCTGTGCACTGCATTATATGTTATTAGGCCCTAGGGTGCCTCCATAAATTAAAATGATACAGTCAAAATGTATGATTAAAAGACTGAGAGGCACTTGCAGCATAATCATATCACGCATTCATATCCCACTTTAGCATCTGTTATCTCATTTACTCGCACAGAAATCAGCAGCACTCTGAAATATGAATGACAGAATGGAGCAACTCAATTTTACCAGTGGGGACACGGCAACAGAGAGGTTAGGTGGTTTGCCTGAGGCAACACAGCAAGTGATTGAAAGTGTAACTAGATCTCCTAACTCCCAAACCAGACTTCTTTTCACAGCAGTCTAGTCTAGTCCGCTCAGGCAGGCTATGGAGATGAGAGGGACCATGTAGTACCATCTGCTTTTGAGTCCCAGAGTTACGTGTTTAGCACCATGGACAGAAACAGGCCCAACACCATTCTTTAAAAGGTGAGTAAAGCTCAGAGGCTAGATTCTGGAATGGAGAACCCTGTCGTGCACCCTGAGAACACTGGGCACCTAGAAGTGATGGCAATAAAAATCACTTAGAAACAAATCAGAAACTGGAACAGACACCTTCCCCTCCCATTCCGACCCACAACTTAAGTTACTTGCAAATGCAATCTTTAACCAGAGCAGCTGCTCATTCTTCACCAGATGAAGTCTGAGATGATTTAATGATGAGCAATATTTATCCTGGTCTACAAATGGTGGACTATCTCCAACTAACCAAGCTTGTTTTCTCTTTTCACGTTCCAGAATATCATGAAGACCCCCTAAACTATGAAATGTGAACACAATAGCAACAACATCAATTAATGTCTACAAAGTTCTTACTTTGTGCCAGGACCCGGGCTAGACACTTAAATGTTACGGCATCCATTGATCCTTTGACTAGAATAGCAAGTGTGACGTATGCCTTATGTAGAGACGCCATGAAGAAAACATTTGGGAAATGATGGTGCTGTGATGAAAAGATACACTGACTCTGGAGTGATGCAGCCCTGCTTCTCACTAGCTATATGACCTTGGACACTTATTTAACCACCCTGAGCCTCAGTTGCTACATTTATAAAGATGGAGAATCATACGTTCTTCATAGAGTTGTTAAGGAGACTACACCTCGTGCACAAAAAGCCTAGAGCAGAATGTGGGTGTTCAGTGGACAGTTTCATAAGCATGCCCCCATCTTGCATGTGTATCTTTGGTCTTTTTTATCATGCTTCCCCAGGCCCCACTCAACTCATTGACCTGGCATCAAGATAAAAATAAAATTCAGGGAACAAAGAGAGGGAACGGGCAGTTGGAGTAACCCCAAAATCTGAAGAAAACACAACTTGGGCTGAGTTTCTTCAGTGACTGTCCCAGAAGTGCATAGAAGGGGGGAAGACTATGGACATGATGGCTGATTAATAGTTATAGGCAAGGTGAGGTGCATGCACTGTCAAGCTTGCTGTGCCTGGTCATAGGCCAGCAATGGGCATGGGTCTGTGCCAAAGCTATGAGCCAATGAACATCTACCCTTGCCTGCCACTCACACTCTGCAGGGAAGCCGTACCCCCACTCCCCTACAGGCAGGAAAGGTACTAAGAGGGAGCAGGCTTTCTGATCAGAACCTCAAATACAGCTTCCAATGTTCATCTATCTCTGGAAACACCAATTCACTTTCACCTGCCAGTCCTACTATGATATTTAGAATCTATTATCCCATTGAGAAGAGACCAAAATACAAAAAGAATGCATGAAGAACATCTCTAGAGAAACTGGAATCTAAAAGTGTTTGGATGGATTCATTTTTTCAGTGATCACAGTGAAGAATAGTTGGTCTTTCCCGTCATGGAGCTCACAGTCTGATGAGGGATTTGCTGCCAATGACACTAGAACTTAGTAAATGCTTTAAGATTACAAAGCTGTGCTCTAGACATCGTGGAACCGAGAATGCGGGGAGAGGCCTAATGCAACCACACTGCTCATACCCATTTCTTGACTAGTATATATACACAGGCAGCCACTGAAGCTCCTTCCGCACCTTGCTGGAACGTCGCTTGTTCTGTCTGATAAGGTTCTCTGCCTCCCCTCACTTTTCAGGCCCTCTGGCTGCACTAACATTCAAAAAACAACACATTTTTATACCAGAATGGAACCCTAGATATCATCTTGTTGGACCTTTTCATTTTACAACCTGAGTTCCAGAGAGATAATGACTTCTGTGCTGCAGGGCTGGTCGGTCAAGAACTAGGACACAGGTTTTCCAACAACCAAGCAGGAAAACCTGCTGTGTTACAAGCATCTTCCTAGCTCATCTGCGGTTCCTCAACCTCCTCAGCTTCCCCCCCATCTCCTTTGCAACCGTGTTTCCCCACAAGTCCCTCTACTGCTCTACAAAGCCTAAGAAGGTGACTCCAAGCTTTAGTTAATTGGTTCACAAAACACAGCCCTGTAGTTTAATTTAAGAACAGATATAATTTCTTCTATTTTTACTCCAACTATACTCACTTAAACTTACAACCTGCCTTGTATTAAATATCTTGGGTGGCCTTACTCAAACATTCCTTTTTTTTGGAGACAGAGTTTCACCCTTGTTGTCCAGGCTGGAGTGCAGTGGTGCAATCTCGGCTCACCACAACCTCTACCTCCTAGGTTCAAGCGATTGATTCTTCTGCCTCAGCCTCCTGAGTAGTGGGGATTACAGATGCCAGCCATGATGCTTGGCTCATTTTTGTACTTTTAGTAGAGACGTAGTTTCACCACGTTGGCCAGGCTGGTCTCAAACTCCTGACCTCAAATGATCTGCCTGCCTCGGCCTCCCAAAGTGCTGGGATTACAGGCATGTGCCACTGTGCCCAGCCAAACACTCCTTCAAATGATAATGGACAGCAGGTACATAAACAACAGGACCTATGGGAAACACATTGGCTCCTGCATTACATTACAGGTCAGGTTCCATCCTAACTCCTCCACCCCTGAGAGCTGAATGACTGGGGGGAAACAAGCAACATGGAGCTGTAGATTCTGTTCTTTGGAAACTAGGGGTGACAATGAGATGCTCTTCTTGATTAATCCTTACACATGGGCTTTCTGTGAGCTGCATTTTTCCAAGACTCTCAGGGAAGCAGTGTGGTGGGGCAGAAAAACACAGGAGTTGGAAACCCTGGGGCCGGGCACCCTGGGAAGGAGGGCAGCTTCTCTGCTAAGTAACCTACAGCAACTGAAATTCTCTAAGCCTGTTTCCTCATCTGTAAAATGGGGATAATATCACTATTCACCTCGTCATGTTCTTGCGAGAATAAAATGTTTGAGGGAAGGACATGACTTGTATTAGGAGGTCAATAAATATTGATTTATTTCCCTTCCCACTAAAGGGAGGAAAATGGGTGCCCCTATCGTTATTTAAGCCCCAACTCTGATTTGATGTGAAATCTTAATATTTCAGTTCCTCTCTTCAAGCCCTTGGTTTCCCCTTTGCAAAAAGGGCATCATTACTAGAGGATAACGTGACCAAACTATTATGTTGGTGCAAAAGTAATTGCGATGTTTGCCTTTAAAAGTAATGACAAAAAAACCCATGCAAAATTACTTTTGCACCAACCTAATACTACTACTGATCCCTGGTGAAAGTGTGGTTTACTATAGAGGCATAATTAACAGTAGAGTGAATCATGTGTGAGAATGAGGGAGAAAATAAACAATGACTAAGTTCCTACTATGTACCCAGCGTTTTAAGCACATTATTTCACGTAACATTAGTAACACTTCTGGGAGGAGAGTAATGGTTATTTACCCATTTTACAGTGTGGACTGTCAAGGTTAAATAACTCAAACCAGTATGGATATTATAAAGCAGCAGAGTTGAATATGAACGTATGTCTGTTAGAATCCAAAGTTCACTTTCTTTCTATTTATGTGATTTTCTTACTCTCCTGGAGAGAGGTGCTCCATTTGAGGAGTAGAATTACCCACTGTAACTCTTAAGGAGAGAAGGTGTAAAAATAAACCACGCTAAAT